AGCCACTGACCGACAAGAACAAAAGCGACCCGGGAGACTTGGGCAAAAGCCTCTAACCTGTGTATCAATCCGTGAATCCGTGATGTTGGGCGGTTAAGGAACGTACCATACCACCCACAAACAAATGGCCTAACCGCACGTAATAACCGAACGATCAAGGAGTGGCATGCGGCCAACGGAGGTGACTGGGAAATGAACTTGCCAAAGGTGTTGTTAGCTCATCGTGCTTCCACGCAGTCAATCACAGGCAAGTCCCCGTTTATGTTAATGTACGGTCGACATCCCCGCCTTCCGGTTGATCAGGAAATCGGGTTGTGGCCGGCAACTCGCTTGTCTCCAGATGGGCTATAGTAAGAAAGAAAGAGAGCTCGAGAAAATTTGGCCGCCATTCAGGAAAGGGCTAGGCAGAAAAGGGCAAGCTGAAAGGACCGAACGTTCCACATAGGCACGGAGTTCAAGTGGAAGGATCATCAGAATCCTGGAAGGAGTGGACTGGGGTCGCGGAAGCTAGGCAGTCGATGGCAAGGGCCGTTTGTGGTCATCGACCGCCGGGGGAACCTCTATACCATTCAAGATGGTCGGGGATCGAAAGTAGTGAATGGGACGCAGCTTCGCATGTGGCATGATACACCTGAATAGCGGCCGAATAGACCCAATGCCGAAACCGACCTGACTGATGGTAGTGAAAATCGATGGCATGCGAACGAGCTTTAAGGCGTGGAGGTATGTAACGGTGATACTACTGATCGGGAGGCACGCGAGTAGTATGTGTTGTTCGTAGAATTTCGCTTTGCGTCGACTGAAAAAGGGGATTCTCTTGCAGAATTCGTGGGGCCATTTTGTAACATTTGCTTTTATTTGACCGACGAATGAGTGGAGGCAAATAAGATGCAGATTAGAGTTTTGCTTCCTCGTTCAATGGTCTGTAACCGGACAGCTGGTATTTCCGAATAAATAACTCCGCAGCGAAGGCCTTTTTCCCTTCACGAGTAATTTGTCACCGCAAATTATGGGCATTGTTTTCTCATGGAGATTGATGGGCTGGGGCAGTGTTTATGCTCGCTAGACTTGATCTGCATTTTGTGGTCTATAAAAGTCTTCGAGATAAACGTGACTGCGTAGGGAATCCCGGCATCAATAGATACAGAAACCGAAAATTCAACAATGCACATGTTCTATTTTGCTAGATGGGCGCCAACTTAGGAGTGGCTGAAGTCCAGAATTTGTCTAAAAGCCACACCAACATGATCAGTAATCAGAGAATAACCCAAAATTATGATGCGCATGGCATCATCCAGCTTACAAGGCACAACACCACCACGCTGCGGTTTGACGTTAGGTTTGCGTCGGCTTGTAACCAGTTAAGCTGGTGTGGCGCCTCAAATCGCTCTCAGAAAACGAGCGCAACATTGTGATACGCAAATATATACGGTCAAAGTAACTCTCATTCTTCTAGAAACAATTTTCAGTTAGCTGAGCAAACTGAGGAAGCTTTTTGATAAAATGTACGAGGGAATGCATTTCTCCACAAATACTGATTTGGTCAGCGAATGCATGTTATACTTGCTAATTCCTAAGTAATCGGATGCGCTTCATATTTGAGTGGAGAAGTGCACTCAAACCTTCTCTGAAACATTAACAATGATCTTAAATTTCCGGAGAGCATCAGATTTAGTAGCATAATTTAAAGCGCACCGAACAGGATTTTGAAAAGTTGAATTCGGGACAGTTTGCTTAAAAGAACACTCATATTTGCGCTACATGTTCAGCGTTATCAGGGGACTGACAGTGTGATAAGCCAATTATTAAATTACGGATTCTATGAGAAACCGTTAAGGTGATATAAACGCCCCCGCCATCAACACGCAGTTTCGTTGTTGGCGTTTGAGGGCAGCAAAATTCAAAAAATCTTCTTATAATGATTTTCGTGCAAGAATCCGACCAAGTTTTTAGCATTACGCGTAAACCTTTTTTAGAAGATATCAGGTGAACCCAAAGGGAGGCGACACGGCTACGTGCTCGCAAATGTTTGACTCCGTAGGGGCCCAGAATATTATACTGTACCAGAATTTAAAGTGGATAATAAATAAATAGCCAGCCTGACTGAAATAATCAACATTAAATGTGATGTCATATATTGTCTTAATCACCGAGAAGCACCTCAAAAGAAACACGCCTATACAAGTTGTGGAGTTAATAAGAAGCACGATCGTTTCCTATTTATCCGAAATCATGACAAAAAGTGTAAAAATTCAAAGTTCAAAAGTATGAAAATTAACCGTTCCAAAGTTGATGAGCCAAATGAACGTCAATGACAATTTCGTTCTCAACAATGCCTGGTGGCATTCATGAAGGTATTCAGGTTAACAGAACGTGAGGGATTTCATAATCCTTTTTATTTGGGTTCCCAGAATCGACATGGTTGCCAAGCGAACATCGCGTAATCTGCTGTCGACGATGTCTTCATGATGAAAAATAACTTGTGCTGATGAGTGAATTTTCGAGCAGAACCCCAAATGTTCGAAGGGGAATTAGTTAGGCTAACAAACTCTGGAAACGTGTAAGGATGTCCCCGTCTAAATTGTACTTCTGCAGCCGATGGCTTGCAGGTATGCGTCACAATGGTGTACAACTTAACTTTTCCGTGTGTCTTTCCACCTTTGCGAGAAGCAAAATTCCACCTGAGTTACTACTGGTCTTTCTGCTATTAACCTGGTAAGAAATTTCAGCTAACTCACTAGTAAATCTTCCAATAAATTGCCATGTAGTGACGCTTTCTTCATTCGCTAAATATAGTAGGCTGTACGTGACGCATGGCTTGGAATTTATTCAATAGGTAAACAAGCAATCTATTTTTGCCCCTGTTAAACTATGCACAACTCTGTGAAACTTTAGACATCAATTTTGACACCCAACGTTTCACAACCGCTCGGGACAACGCATGACAAGACATCTTCTAATTTCGCACTCAACAAGTCAACTTCACTTCCGGTGCGAAATTCCAAAGGGTCTTGAGCAAAGTTGAAATGTGTTTATGTTTAGTTTTCATTAATTCCAAATCATATGACTTGAATTTGGTTTGCATGCGTTCATAATATATACTGCGTTTCCACATTCCCGATTCTACATCTGAGCAGATAGCTAGGATCTCCTTACTTTCAGTACAAGTTGATGAATTGGTGAAATAAGCCACATGAGAATGACAGACATGATAGCATCCTGGTTTTATTTTCATCGCTCATTTCCCGTTGCTGAGTTACAACAGCTCCTGGATGTGGTGTATTTTCGCCAGCCAACAGCGCGTTTACACTGTCAACTAGACTGGCTTTGCCCTATAGAATTTTATAGGTCCTTAGGCATAGCTGTTTGCTTCCAAACTGAGGATATTATTCACCGAGAGCAGCTCTATACACATGATGATGAAAGCAAGTTTGGCGGTTTCAATAGAATGACTGATTGGATGAAAGATGGAGTCGTCCTGTCCGCTTGTTATACTTGTTGCAGATGAGTAATATAACCTGTTTCTATTAAGCCAAATTTGCGTTTTCCCAAAAGCTGTTCCGTGGCTTGTTTGTTTTTCTACTTTCTGTGGATCATTGGATACGCTAGCAATGTGGCTGGGCTTCTAGTTATGCTGCTGTATTGGTGGATTTTCAGGGTAGAATTTCAAGGAGATAAAACCTTGATGACTTTTGTCACTGTTCTATTTAGCTATTTTACTCAGCACTCATTCGTTATTCCACGGTTGATCTGCATATAATGTCTGTGTGTATGGTGCTCGGATTGACTTGTGCTCATCAGAATAGTTGTTGGTGCACTGTTCTTGTAGTACCGAGAGTCCGAACGATTCATAAAGTGCCCTGAACTACTTATCTAATGATGTATCAGCACAGCTTTAACAGGACAGTCATTCGCTCATTGGTGCAGCGCAGTGTGCTGCTTATGAATGATGTGAGTAGCATCTAAATTGGTATCTAAGTTCCGCCTTCGTATTTGATGGAAGTTGAATGTGATCAGAGAAATTGTGGGTTTGCTGTGCATCAACTGGTCTGTATTTCGGATTTCAGTTTCAAGTTGCCTTGTACTTTGTTTATGGTGTTTCCCTCGCACGTTGGGTCAATCCTAAATGACAACATAGTTTTAAAATGACTGTTGTTAGCTCTTTTTATTTGATTGGCTGCTTTACATTTCCAAAGTCACGCAGTTGCATTTGAATCGATGTGAAGCGAGAACCATGGAATTGTGAGTCCTTGCGGCTACCTGCACAATCGTTTGTCTGATGGCCACTTGCCCTATAATAGGTTGTTTCTCTTGATAACGGGAACCATCATGTCAATAAATCTTCAGCTGGGTTATATTGCAGGCCACAGATTATTGATTAATTTGAATTGCCTCCCTAATTCCCAGCAGTGATATATTAGGGAGGAGAGAGTGGTAAGTTCACGTATTTACTTTCGAGATACACATGCGTGTTCCCCAAACCTGAAGAGTTCTACGAGTAATATGCTCTCGTTTGCGGAGCACTAACTGACTTCGGATGTGCACCAGTGACAATGGCCATGGAAAATCATGCTCAGCATTTTTTCAAAATTTAAGGAATTGATGCTGCAAGTGCAGACGATGTTTTTCACGTTTTTCGACTTTCATGTGGCGTTCGAGTGACTAGGATTAGCACATCTGGGCGCAAATTTTACGAGTATTATGCAGTTAGATGAAGCTACTTTGCTGTAAGAAGATAGAAGTAGGATTGTTACTAGTATAATACGCATAGTGCAACTAAGGCACGTGCATCCAAATTCACCTCTATATGATACTACAGCTCATAGATCTTTTGGTGCATAACAGTTCTTTATGGTTCTCAGTTTAGAAGATTTCAACCGCAATTGAGCAAACTTGAGAAACACGGTAAACATCCTCAGGTTGTTGTTTACATGCCACTGTTAGGCAAGCACGCCCTACCAATAAGGCTTGAAGTTTTCTGGAAAAACTCCAATATTCCCCAAATTTATATCCGCTCTTATTTTTTTCATTAGGTTTCAATATATCTCTTCGAAACTCATCTCGGCACTCATCAGCTTATTTATTGTATATATGTGTGCGTTATTTAAATCATGCTTAGCATCGCTAAGATGGAACGATGCCCAATCTCACATACACGAGTATGGTGACGGCGGAAGTTAGGTAAATACCAAATGAGATAATTGTATATCTAGGCCGAAAGTCCGATTTAACCAAATTAATATTTATACCCATAAGAAGAAGAATGTTAGCAACAATTATTTAAATCGGTGAAATAATCAGAGAATTCGTTTCAGTTGTCATTATGCACCTGAAGATCCGGCGTACATAGACACCAAATATGCCGGTTATATAATTCTGTTCCCGTGATGTGTTTTCCATGAACAGAGCGCGATTCTCGATTTCTGGCATCGCCAGCCGGATAATCATCCTGTATGTTGCTGGTGGGTATCTGGCGGTAAAACCAGCATCATTCTCCCTATGGTTTTGTAGGTACCAATGATATCCATTAAATTAGGGATGATACTGCTTCACGCTTTGGTACAGTATTTCTAGACCAAAATTCTGCAAAGAGTGAAAAAATACAATCGTAAAGAATAATTTTGCGTAGAGCTAACAGTGGTATGTGCAGCATGGCGCGAAATTTGTCCCTATAGGGGCTTATCAGGGGAGCAGAAATTCATAACTTTATCGCCCATAATCGAAGCACTAAACGGCGTCCAGAAGTCCATAAAGGCAACCAATCCGATAAGACCAGTTAGGAAATCGATGAGATAATGGCTACGATGCGGAAAATGCATCTGACAAAAAAACGCCGCTTAATGATTAACAAAATGAGTGTACTAAAAACTTATTGGCTGTGTGGGGAGATTTCGGATCAATGTAGGAAGTCGTCCCGTAAATGAAGCCAAAATATGCTGCAACGATATACAGCTGATTCATCATTATTCGGAATCATCAGCATTGCGCATCTCACGAAACTCCGAAGGGTCTCGAAACCGCGAACTTCCGGCTAGCAGTTTGAACAATTAAACGTTTGGGCACGAGCGGCTGATCAGCAGTGTGATTCTCTCGCACTTGTACAGCGCCGTTCATCCTTCAGTTACGCGATCCAAATCACGCGGTAACTCGGGCGGTATTTCTCAAGCAACGACTTATCACACAGAAGTTTCATTGATCGGCTGAATTTTATTCTTCCACTGAGCTACTTATATATTGTTGGTTGTGTGAGGAGGTTTAACATTTCTGTTGGATTTCGTCCCGTCAGTGAAGCAAATCTATGCTGAACAGCCGAGGAGCACTGTGCAGCTGTTTTATCCTTATTCGGAATCATCAGCAGTGCGCATCTCACGAATTTCCGAAGGGTCTAGAAACAGTGGCCTCCCGGCTCACAGTTAGAAAACCTAACCGTGCAGCCACAAGCGGCTGATCACAAGTGGGATTCACTCCCACATAGACAGGATAGAGCGCAGATCATCCTTCAATCGGGCGATCCACATCACGCGGTCACACGTGTTGAATGCCTCCTCGAGCAACGACATTTCAAAAAGAATTTTCACACATCGGTTGAAGATCGTTCTTCAACTGAGCTACTTATATACTGTTGGTAGTGCGAGTACATTTGGGATTTCTGTTGGATTTCGTCCTGTCAGTGAAGCCAATCTGTGCTGAAAAGCTGAGTAGCACTGTACAGCTGTTTCAACGTTATACGGAATCATCAGCAGTGCGCATCTCACGAAACTCCGAAGGGTCTCGAAACCGCGAATTGTTCTAGTGAATTGAACAAATAACCGTTGGGCCATGGCTGGCTTATCAGCAGTGTTATTCACTCGCACTTGGAAAAGATATAGCGCCGCTCATCCTTCAGTTAAGCGATCCACATCACGCGGTTACACGTGTTGACTGGCTCCTCGAGCAACCACTCCTCACGTAGAAGTTTCACTCATCGGGTCAAGTTCATTCTTCCACTGAGCTACTTATATATTGTTGGTTGTGTGAGGAGGTTTGGCATTGCTGTTTCATTTTCTCTTGTAAATGGCGCCTGTCTATGCTGAAAGGCCGAGTAGCTCTGTACAGCTCTTTCATGTTTATTCGGAACCATCAGCAGTGCGCATCTCACGAAACTCCGAAGGGTCTCGAAACCGCGAATTCTTCTAGTAAACTGAACACTTAAGCGTTGGGCCACCAATGGCTGGTCGGCCTTGCGATGAGCTCCACTTTTGAAGGTATATATTGCCGCTTGTCCTTCACGCGTTCCGGATTCACGGATCCAGTTTTTTCCCAATTTTCCCTGTTCGGTTTCGTTGGTTTGGGTCAGTGTCTTTCATTCACCTGAAGTTCACATTTTATAAAATTGTGTAGCACTGCTCTTTGTTTTCTTAGCGTGGGGCAGTATGCTTGATAGCGCGAGGAGTCGCATAAATTAATTTATAATATTGCTTTAAACTGGGTTCTATAAAGAACGTGAACAACCGTCACAGGAAGTTAATTAGGCGCACCTACTTATCGAAATCAGAAAAAAATTTGCCTAATGAATGTTTGTGCTCTGAGCTTGAAAATGTTCTTACTATGTCCCCGCCGTGTGTTTGCTGGGTCAACGGTAAAAAGCCTGTTTGCCAACCTTTGTTCAAACGGGGCATAAGTAAGAATTAGGTCCCCTCGGAGGCGACAGTACTCCAGGGGAAAGAGATCAAGCATCGCGGGACGCGTTTCTCAGTTCACGAATTTGAGGCCGGCAACCATTCTCGTAGCGGCCCGCTGGACACGCTCAATGAGGATGACGTCTTTCGTGCGTCCTGAGTAGACAACTTGGTTGTCGTGCTACAGGGGCGGTCTGACGTAGGCCCCATAGAGTATTTGGAAGTCCATGCGTGTAACACGGGAGAAGGTGCGTCGGATCATCCGTAAAATGGCGAATGTCTTTTGGGCCAATTTCTCATGGTGCTGTGGGACCTTATCAAATACTTTTGAGAAGTCGAAAAATATGGCATCCGGTAGGAGTCCTTCGTCCTTGGCTTGGGTTAAGCTGTGCATTTACACGAGCATTTTTGTCACGCAAGAGCAGTTTGGGAGAAATCCTTGTTAGGCTGGAAACATCAGATTGCTGGAAGTAAGGTGACCTAGGATAGCTCGCTTCATAATGCGTTCCCTTACCTTGCACGGCACGCTAGTGAGGCTTACAGGGATTTAGCTTCCAGGCGATAATCGGTCACCANCCATAAGAAGAAGAATGTTAGCAACAATTATTTAAATCGGTGAAATAATCAGAGAATTCGTTTCAGTTGTCATTATGCACCTGAAGATCCGGCGTACATAGACACCAAATATGCCGGTTATATAATTCTGTTCCCGTGATGTGTTTTCCATGAACAGAGCGCGATTCTCGATTTCTGGCATCGCCAGCCGGATAATCATCCTGTATGTTGCTGGTGGGTATCTGGCGGTAAAACCAGCATCATTCTCCCTATGGTTTTGTAGGTACCAATGATATCCATTAAATTAGGGATGATACTGCTTCACGCTTTGGTACAGTATTTCTAGACCAAAATTCTGCAAAGAGTGAAAAAATACAATCGTAAAGAATAATTTTGCGTAGAGCTAACAGTGGTATGTGCAGCATGGCGCGAAATTTGTCCCTATAGGGGCTTATCAGGGGAGCAGAAATTCATAAATTTATCGCCCATAACTGAAGGACTAAACGGCGTCCAGAAGTCCATAAAGGCAACCAATCCGATAAGACCAGTTAGGAAATCGATGAGATAATGGCTACGATGCGGAAAATGCATCTGACAAAAAAACGCCGCTTAATGATTAACAAAATGAGTGTACTAAAAACTTATTGGCTGTGTGGGGAGATTTCGGATCAATGTAGGAAGTCGTCCCGTAAATGAAGCCAAAATATGCTGCAACGATATACAGCTGATTCATCATTATTCGGAATCATCAGCATTGCGCATCTCACGAAACTCCGAAGGGTCTCGAAACCGCGAACTTCCGGCTAGCAGTTTGAACAATTAAACGTTTGGGCACGAGCGGCTGATCAGCAGTGTGATTCTCTCGCACTTGTACAGCGCCGTTCATCCTTCAGTTACGCGATCCAAATCACGCGGTAACTCGGGCGGTATTTCTCAAGCAACGACTTATCACACAGAAGTTTCATTGATCGGCTGAATTTTATTCTTCCACTGAGCTACTTATATATTGTTGGTTGTGTGAGGAGGTTTAACATTTCTGTTGGATTTCGTCCCGTCAGTGAAGCAAATCTATGCTGAACAGCCGAGGAGCACTGTGCAGCTGTTTTATCCTTATTCGGAATCATCAGCAGTGCGCATCTCACGAATTTCCGAAGGGTCTAGAAACAGCGACCTCCCGGCTCACAGTTAGAAAACCTAACCGTGCAGCCACAAGCGGCTGATCACAAGTGGGATTCACTCCCACATAGACAGGATAGAGCGCAGATCATCCTTCAATCGCGCGATCCACATCACGCGGTCACACGTGTTGAATGCCTCCTCGAGCAACGACATTTCAAAAAGAATTTTCACACATCGGTTGAAGATCGTTCTTCAACTGAGCTACTTATATATTGTTGGTAGTGTGAGTACATTCGGGATTTCTGTTGGATTTCGTCCTGTCAGTGAAGCCAATGTGTGCTGAAAAGCTGAGTAGCACTGTACAGCTGATTCAACGTTACACGGAATCATCAGCAGTGCGCAACTCACGAAACTCCGAAGGGTCTCGAAACCGCGAATTGTTCTGGTAAATTGAACACTTAAACGTTGGGCCACGAGGGGCTGACCAGCAGTGTGATTCACTCGCACTTAGACAGGATAGAGCGCCGCTCGCCATTCAATCACGCGATCGACATCACGCGGTTACACGTGTTGACTGGCTGCTCGAGCAAACACTTCTCACATGGAAGTTTCACGCATCGGGTAAAGTTTATTCTTCCGCTAAGCTACTTATATATTGTTGGTTGTGTGAGGAGGTTTGGCATTGCTCCTTCATTTTCTCATTGTAAACGGCGCCAGTCTATGCTGAAAAGCCGAGGAGCA